TTTTTTTTTTTAATTTTTAAAAAAATATTTTATTTATTTGTTATAGGGTCTCGCTATGCAGCTCGGTCTCATAGTGATCCTGTCTCAGCACTGGGATTACAGGTGTGTGCCACCATGACCGGTTTTGGTAGCCAGCATGGTTTTGGTGGCTGGCACAACATGTGGTACTAGGGATGGAATCTGGGTGCTTGCGCTTGCCAGACAGGCACTTAGACCACCCAGCTATCTCCCCAACCCAGGCTATTTCCCCAGCCCAGAAGTTTTAAACATGACCTGACATCTACCTTCAGGAAAAATAGATTTAACATCTGGGGATGGTGGTGTATGCTTGTAATCCCAGCACTCAAGGCTAAGGTGTGAGGATTGCTGAGAGTTGGAGGCCAACCAACTTGGGGCACAAAGAAAGTTCAAGGCCAGCCCGAACTACAGTGAGATCTTATCAAGAAAACAAAAAAAATAATAATAATAAAATAAAATAAAAAAGATTAAGGCAGAACCAAAAGGAAAATGTACTAAAGAGACTGACATAGACCCAATTCACTAACATTAAAAGAAAGGAAGACCTAAAGGTTCAAATTATGTGTTTCTACTAAAAGAATAATTGAAGAGGGGCCACCCTCAAGCTATAGGGCATACTATACTTTTCCTATTTTAACTTGGCCCAAAAGGGCTCTAGAGAGCCCATTTGTTTATATGTCTTGTAAATCTAAAACCTTACTAAAAATTACTATCATTAAAAAAGAATTGAAGAGGGAAGAGATTAAGGCGATGATAAATTTACAAGCAAGAAACTTAGGGGTCTCTAAGATAACCAGTTGTTTACATGTAGAAGACAGTTTTCATACAGATCCCTTGTTGAGTTTTATAACTCACTAAAACTACAGGTGTGGCATTATGTTAATAAAGAGGATGAGAAAAAGTAAATTCAATAGTATGTGCCCCTAGGCCAGCTAAATGATTAAGACCAACTGTATAGACAAGTTTGAACTGAAAATCTGGGACTTAGCAGTGCATAAACTGCTCCTAAGTTCAAAGCGCATAAATTACCTAGGAAATAATTAAGCTAACATTTACACAGTACTTACTTAACAACTGATAAAATACGTACTCATTCCATTTTATGGGTGGTTAAATAACTTCCCTAATATTACTGGGCATTTAAAGAACTGATAGCATTAAGAGTTGGGATGTATGTCCAAGGTTCTAGGTTCAAATCCCAACCCTGCAAGAAATCAAAAACAAAACAAAAAACCCTTTAAAAAGGCAAGGAGGTAGAATGATTAAAAGAGAACCAAGAGGGCCAAGGAGATAGTCGGTGGTATAAGGGCCTACCTGGCAAGCATATGGTCCCAAGTTTGATCTTTAGTAGCAAAAAAAAAAGCAGAGAGGGAGAGGGAGGGAAGGAGAAACAAGAGCAAGCAATGTTGGAAACCAAAATAAAAGAGTCAAGAAGGGTACTCCAGGGTCAATACCTTAGAAAATACAGCGGAACAACAAAATCTTTTTCAGGAAAAAAAAAAAGGCGGGGATAGAGACTAGACATCCCACACTTTGGGGATATTAATAGCTGTGATTTATTTAACTACATGTACAATTAGTTTCAGGAAGGAAAATTACATTGGAGCAGGTTGCACAATTAGTTCAGGAAGTGAAACAGCAGCGATCACGAGACTAGTTTCTCAGGAAGGGAGAGAATCAAGCAACGGTTTACTAAGTCAGCAACACAGAACCCTAGATATCACAGTAGGTTTACTACTTTATTAGTAAACCTACTACCTTGGCCCCCCACTCCCTCCTTACTGGGGATTGAACCTGGGGCCTCTGCACTGAGCTACATCCCTAGCCCTTTTATAATTTTGTTTTATTTTGAGATAAAGTCTGACTCTTTGCTACACTGCCCAGTCTAGGCTCAAACTTTCAATCCTACCTCAACACCCCAGAGTCATTAATGGGCTGGAACTTGCACCACCACATGCCCCTCCACTCCATTTTTAAAGATGGGAGATCTGGAAAGAGTAAGTGAGCAAGTGCCAAGCACACTCACTTGCCTATAATCCTAGACAGTTGGAATGAAGGCTGAAACTGAAGGATCAATGCACATTCAAGACCACCAGGGCCATGCAGTGAGTTCAAGACCATCAAAAACTACATAGCAAGACCTGTCTCAAACAAAAAACACTAAGAAACTTGTTGAAAGTTACACAAAAAGTGAGTAGCTATGGAAATATGTCTCCCCAGGTAACAAAGTTGATCAGTTAGATATGTCAAAACACATTCACTGAACAGAATTTATGAAACTAATTGGTACACTGAAGTTACATAATATTTTAAGTAACTAACTTTATCTTCAGAAAGCAAACAAAAATTATCTGAGAGACAAGTGAATCATGTTGGTAAGTGGCAACTCTGATCAGCCTGCAGTGTTCTCATGATGAAGTTTCCAAAGAATCCTATAAATCTGTATTACAAATTAAAAAACAGGGCTGGAGAGATGGCTCAGTGGAATAAGCACTTCCCTGGCAAGTGCAAGGACCTGAGTTCAATCCCCGGTTCCGCAAAAAAAA